GAGAAACACTGCTGGGTTATGTCATATCAAATAGTACAGCTTACATATTTACATTTAGTGTATTATATAATATATTCTCTTTTTCAAAATATAATAAAATATGAGTGATAAAAGAAGAAGTGGTGTTTGGTTGTATTTCAATGCAATTGATTCAAATAAAGCAAAGTGTGGCATTTGCAAAAATGTCTTATCCTATAAAGGTGGTGCAACCTGCAATTTGAGGAAACATTTGAAGGCGAAGCATTTTGAGATAATAACGCAAGATCTTCCGTCTCCTTCGTCTTTAAGAACATCTGCGGAGTTAGAGGAAATACCCGGACCATCCACTTCTTCTACACCTTTGGAAGTCATCCCAGGAAATTCGGCTTATGACGCCACAAAAAAATCAGGACAAAAGACAAATGCCTTTTCCCTCATCAAAACAATCTAAAATATCGACTTTTGCTACGCGGCCAATGTCTATTCCGCGTACCAAGAACCTGCATATAAAAGTTTTAAACATGATTCTAAAAGACATGCAGCCATTTACAATTGTTGAAGATGAAGGGGTCAGAGAATTGTTAGAAGAGTTTGATCCTGCTTATAAACTTCCTTCAAGAAAAACTAAGCAACAGTTTGTTGCCCCAAACATATGATGAAGTTGTTCAGAAAGTAAAGAATTTACTAAAAAATTCGGAGTATTTGACGATTACGACAGATACTTAGACATCCACAGCTGTTGAAAATTATTTTGCCATAACCGTACATTATTTTTCTGTCACTCTCTGTCTACGCTACAGTATGTATAAATAGTCAGATTGTCCGTATTTATTACAGTATTCGATACATTTATCAAAAAGTATCAGATACTTCTGACTTCGGAAAGTATCGGATCTTTTGTATCGGATAGATACTTTTTGCCCACCACTAATTGGCAACTCTCTATGAGAGGAGAGTTATGAAAATGTAGTAAAATGCACCCCACGCTTTTTAATCTGAATTGAATTATTCTATTAACTTAAATTTTTTTATGATTTTATTTTGAAGTCATTTAATTATGATTGATTGTTCGACCATCTACTACTGTAATATACTGTAATTAAAAATTATTTTCTACTTTTTAGTTCGGTTAGCTATAAAAGCGTGTTTTTTAGTCCCATAAACCATTTTTTATTTTTCATTTTTTAGTTCGATTTATCAATTAGTATTTTGTGGACATGTCTTACGAATCATTTCGTAATCTGATGATTTCATGTAAAGCTTCACTGTTGCATGGGGTTTTTCCTATTAACTTAGAGCAATCAAGTTCTTCAATCCCAATACCGTCTAAAGATTTTACATGACTAAGTGCTACATAAGCTTGCCCAGCAGCGATCAGTCGCGGGCCTAGATAAATGACTGCATCGAGTGTACAACCTTGCATCTTGTGGACGGCCGAAGCCCAACTCAGGATAAATGGCAACATTCGCAATGAACAAGGTGAGAATGCACTACCTTAAGAAATTATCTGTCACCGTTGTGCTGTGCCGAGTGCCCGAACCAACAAAGAGTAAGCCGAAACTGCACGCATACGCAGATCACGCGCTAGCTCTATCACTCTTACTCGCCTACAGAGGATCTATAAAAGAATTTATCAATCCTGGCGGTGCTAATGAGGATAATGGAAAACTGTTATCAAATTATTGTATTGTCATCGGTCCCTAATACGTGTTGGAAGTTTCAAATTAATCAAACTTCTGGAAATCGGTGAAAATTATGCTCAAAGATTCGGTTACATACATACAGGCCAAGCCAATAAAAGCATGTTAAAAATTTTGCCTCGTCGAATGCGTACAATAATGAGAAGGTGGTTCTAGATATCCTCCTAATTCTTTTGGTACAAACGGTCTTCAAATCCGATTTCTAATATAATTTTCTTTGAAAAAAGGCCTAACGCAATTTTTTTAGTTTATTTATTGTTCCATTCACGGTTTTGCAGCGCATAAATCCGTAATTTGTCACTTCATATAGAAATATTACGCAAACGAATAGCAGATATTTACGTTTAAATATTTCACGGACAGTTGACCATCAACAGTTGTTTCATCTAGTGTGCTGTTAACAACAGGCGGTATTATTTTGTTAATGAGCTCGCATAAAATGTGGAAATAATTGCGTATTTACATGGAAATGAAATATATTACAAATTTTAGCAGGATTGACGTTACAAGTAAATAAACGAGTATTAAATTACATGTGAATATTTTATCATAAAAATAATTTGTTTAAATGGGTAAATGAAATATATGCATGCAAGATACACCTCAGGACAATAGGGATATTGATTCACGATCAGATCCTCATCTGCTATCAGTTTTTCGCCAAAACTGACGGAAGACCATGGAAAGCCAAGTTTCCGACTACAAACAGAACTTCACGATGTTTTATGTTTTGTTAATCACTGTATCCCAAATCATCATCTCTAATTACCCCAGGCCACACAGTTTTGTTGGGTTGTAGAGACAGTGAATGAAAATCGAAGTAGTTAGTAAGTTTATAGGCATCGATATTGCATAGATCATTGGTCGCCAACCTTTCCGTGTGTTTAGCTAATTTGATAATTTTGGAATAAACAGTGAGCTACCTAGTCGTAAGCAATGTAAGCCAACTTAAATGAAATTACACATAGTTGTATGAGACATACATGTGTTTATTTTACTAATACTAATACATACTAATAAACTTAAGTAAACTAATAGCTAATACATACTACATAACTACATCCATTCCTACCAATCGTATGTGTTTGAAAAATAGAAAAAAAATTCCACCAGCTACAATGGCATGTCACATAGGATTCAATAAATTTAACTAAAAATAAAGAACCAACGCACTATTTTAAACAAAAACATGTCCAGATAGAAAATGCGTGTTCAATGAGAATTTTTTTAATGTTTGGGGTATAATTACCGCCATTTGACTACAATGTGCATCTGTAAATCGATTACGGTATTTGTTTTTAATAAACTTCATTTTTGAAAAAGAAGATTCACACAAATAGGTTGAACTAAACAAATTTTAAGACAACACGACATATAACTAAATATTTATCTTTACTTACTGAAGGTCAGATATATTTTGTATTTGAGACTAATGATTTTTAAGCTAAACCATTTTTAAACGCGATCACTTAAATTTTTGTCGCAGCGATGTCTTAGCTAAAATTCTGCGTATTGAATATCAATTTCCGTGAAGGGTGAAATAAAAAATTGCGCCACTATAGCAATTTCGTTGAAATCCTTGAAACGATTTTTGAAGGTATCCTTCAAGTGAGAGATCATGATATTTACTGTCATATGATTCTAATGGACTTTGAGATATCTTTTCTGAAAGAACAGGAAAATGTCTGGTATCGCCATCGGTAAGTTTTGTTCCGAAAATCTTTTGATTTTTTTTTATATCGAAACAGCCGCGCAGGCAGAAGCCTAAATGCCGGAACACCGCAGCTGCTATGATGATCCCAAAGAAATTTTGTTAATACGATTTTTGAACTGCCTAAGGTTAGTAGAACTGGGAAAAGCTTCCTCTTGTAGGTTGTTCCACAATCTAGACACCCTCGGGACAAAGTAGCGGTCGTATCGGCCAGTTCTGAATGTACGAAGTTTGACACGGTTAGGATGGGACGCCGAAGTCAGGCGGGTATGTTTGGCAAGCACATCGCGCGGCGGCATCATGGAAGAGAGTTCTGAGGAGCAAAGCCCGTTGGTGTAGCGATAGAAAAGAGCTAGATCGCCGACGGCCCGTCGGTGCGAAAGAGTCCCGAGACTGTTAGAGAAGAGTCATCGATCAGTCGGACCGCCCTCCTCTGGACAGCATCGAGCATGGACAATGTAGTCGGGCCGGCAGCACCCCAAATGTGTGAGCAATACTCGAGGCTAGGCCTTATCTGGGCCTTGTACAGCGTGAGAAGGTCATGCGGAGAAAAGTACTTCTTAGCCCTAAACAAATAGCCTAGCTTTTTCCCAGCAGCTGCAGCTATTGAAGAGATGTGTTCGTGCCAGATCAGGTCCTCGGTGATCTGGACTCCGACCAGCCGAAATGAATGGCTCTTTGGTAGAACTCGGCCGTCCATCGAAACTGTATGAGCGCTAGGACGCTTTTTGTTCGTCAAAGTACAGTACTGTGTTTTGGAAGCATTGAACTGTACAAGATTGTATATCGCCGCTTTTATATCAGAAATCATTTCTGCTAGTTCTTTGTCTCTTCCCTGAAGCTGCAAATTAAGTTCATTTAATTTTCCTGAAATATCCACAAGAAAACGTAAATCTCTAAGTCAGATTGAATTTTCCAATTCCGGATCGGTTCATCACGTTGTTTGAGAAAATGAACTATGGCAGATATGATATCATTAAAAAGTTTCAGCACTCGTCCCCTACTTAACCATCGGACTTCAGAGTGAACAAGTAGTTCCCCGTATTGACAGCCAATCTCATCGGCCAAGGTTTTGAATAATCTTCTTTCTAACGCTGGAGCTCTAATCTTGTTCACAATTTTTACTACCAATTTAATAACGTTGTTTAGTTTTGAAAAATGTCCACATAATGCTTGCTGATGGATAATGCAGTGGTAATAGAGAAACTGCGGAAAATTTTCATCTTTATGACATAACCCCACGAGACCATCACCACGATCCACGATAGCTGGAGCGCCATCGGTTGTCAAGCCTACCATTTTCGATATTGGAATTTTCTCAGAAAAATATTTTTGAAAGAAGAAATCAAGTCCTGTCCAGTAGTCTGTCCTTTTAGTGGAATAAACTTCAAAGGATCTTTAACCCTTTCGGTACGGCTTGTCACTGAACATTTTTATTCCTACGGCCTGAGACTTTTACATTGGTCATTGGCCTGCCGTCGGAAATATCCGTCACCTAAGAAAACTACCCACATTTTATGAATTAATATGAGCAAGTTATATTAAAACAATTATTTTATTAGATAAAGTTACAGAAAACATAAACACATTGAACATTAGAACATTAAACATTAAAAAGTAGCCTCTGTGTGATATATTTTGAAGCAAGGGACCACGCATAATCCAACGTCACATTCTGGGCACATATAGCTGGACTCTTTTCTTTTTGCTTGCTTCTGCTTTGTATGGGAACAAACCCAACATCTTCTGGATCCAACCTTAGTACTGCCTGGTTTTCGTGGAACTGACACCGGAAAGTGTCTATTCTGAAGCCTGGCATTGCCCAAATCGCAATGTATAGATTTTACTATGCCATACCTGCAAAAAAAAAGCATTTAGCAAATAGGATCGAAAACTACAAAGAAATCTTTACCTTTCTATAAGTTGAGCAATAACCGCTAGATGAAAATTGGCGAATGAAGTCTTCTTAGTATGTCTTGTGGAAAACATTGCATGTGCGTTTAGCAATGTTATGTTAATCGAATGGAGAAATAACTTCTTATACCATTTCAGACATTTTCGAGTGCAATCTACGCTACTCAGCATCATATCTGATCTGTCGACAGCCCCCATTTGACGGTTGTATTCCAGAACACATAACGGCTTTATTACATTTTCATATGTAGATCGATTTATTTTCGGCAAAGTAACCATTCTATTTTCATGCATACTGGTCAGCATCACAACATCCCGCCGATCTTTCCATTTTATTGCCAATAAATTTTTACTACTTCTCCAGTCAGTATCTCCTTGTTTTAATTTTTTATAAAATACCTACTGGCATATGTTTCCTATTTTGCCTTACAGTTCCACAGGAGTTTGTTTTATGTTGTAACAAAAAAGTTGAAAGTGTAGGGCTGGTGTAAAAATTATCCGTATAAAGAGAATGTCCCTTGTTGAGGTATGGCTCTAAAAGTTTTGCAACAACGGCCCCTACAGTACCAAGATTATTCTTGTCTTCTGCTTTTATATTAGTGTCTTTTCCACAATATATTATAAAGTCTAAGACAATTCCTGTTTCGCAATCACACAACACGTAGAGTTTAATTCCAAAACGATGTTTCTTGGTCTTGATATACTGTTTAAAACTGAGTCTTCCTTTAAAAAGAATCATACTCTCATCTATAACCAAATTTTGAAATGGATAGAATTGAGACTGGAAATTTTCTTTCATTATATTTAGCACGTTCTCAACTTTGAACAATCTATTACCAGGTGGAGCGATTTCATTATTGGAGAAATGCAAATATCTTTGTAATTGAAAATACCTGTCCCTTGACATATGTTTGCTAAATGCAGGTGAAAGCAGTAAGTGGTTTTGGGACCAATATTCCTTCAAGTTCACTTTTTTATTGCGAGGCATAAGCAACGTCAAAGCCAGAAAAACGTAAAATTCGGAACGTTCTAAATGCTTCCAGTTTTTTGCATTTTGTTGGCGTGCATAATTATTTGTTTCATCCAAAATAACATCCACTATGTTTTCTGTGAACAAACTAAGAAAATAGTCGACTTCCTTTGAGTTTTCGTCGAGGTTTTGGTCTTTTACACCGCTATTGGTCGTGTCAAATTCGTGTATTTTCGGTAGAAACTCATTTTTTGTCCAAATTATTTCCAGAACTGTTTGGTGAGTAATATTATCTCCAACGTTTCCTACCTCTTCCTGTTGATTTTCTTGTTCATTTTCCGGTTCCAATTCATCCAGATCGCTCTCAGAGTCCTCAGAAGATGGACAATATTCGCTTCCGCTATCGAGAAAGGGGTCTTCTTCACTAACGTCAGACAAGTAAATATCTGCATCTACCAGACTTAAAATACTATTGACTTCCTCCTCAGTTAAACCACAATATCCGCTACAATCTACTTTACGCCTTTTCGGCCGCTTAGTGCCCTGAGACGAACTGGCCTCCTCGTTTGACATGATCGAACGAACTGACGCTTCTGAAGCTTACGGTACATGGCATGCTACCATGCTCGACTGCCGTCGGATATTTCCGACATTGACGGGTTATTCCGACAGCAGGCCATCCACAATGCGTTATACGTCGGATAAAGTCGTCGGCAGTCTCTCGGTGAATGTAAGTTTTCAAAAGAGTCGGAAATAAACGGCACAAGTGTCATTATACAAAATAACCTTGAACGGATATATCCGTCACCAGGCCGCAGGGCCATATTGCTTCCTGTCGGATATATCCGGCAACCGTACCGAAAGGGTTAATACTAAAATCACTATAAACCATACTGACGGACACGGCCATCTGAGAGGTGCCAACGACATCTGTGGATTCATCCAGCTGCAGTCAAAAATAAGCACAGTTATCAAAGTAATTTCTTAAGTGTAAAGCTATTCATTGCTCATCACTTCTACTCGTCTATTAGCAGAAAGTTGCATACATCTTATAGCAAACACTATCTCGTCTTCATTTCTGAAGTTGGCGAATAATGAATCCGCAGCTTCTAAAAATACCCGTTTTATCACTTCCCCGTCTTCATAAGGCTTCTTCTTTTGTGTAATTATCTGGGACACTTGTATGATGCTTCAGTTACAGCCTTACTTTTGTCGATTGTTTTAAAAACATTGTCTGTTGGCCAACTAACTGATTTTTCAATTGTTTCAGTTTTTCCAAAGGTTGCAGAACGTAATGGGGATGATTTTTCAAAATTCGAATGTATAGTTTTATAGTGCTTCCAGATATTCCTTTTTTTTAGCAATGGAAGAGATTATATAACAAACTTACATTTTTACCTTCTGTACCCTCTGTAAATAATGTCGTTCTTCCCATTTTGAATATAAATGGTATGTCTTCATCTTCTTACTACTGCTCATAATGTTTTTAATTGCAGCCCAACTTTAACCCAACCGGTGGACTTCAGTGCCCTTCAGTTTTAAACTGAGCGCACTGTCGCTGCGCATTGCGTATTTATTCCGTCCCAAGAAATAGAGATCGTTCTGAAGCAGATCGTTCACCGCAGTGTTGCCGCTGCTTGTGTTTATTATGAGAATTTAAAACATCTACGGAAGCTTCTATGATTTTTACACCTTTTTCAAATATGTTGTGAGCCACCCAACTACCTTTGCGAGCTACCAGTAGCTCGCGATTGACGGATTGGCGACCACTGGTAGATATGATTCATTACCAAGTGCACACTCTATTATTGAAGGATGGATAAACAGGATGTCCTCAAAGTTACCTTTACAGAACCTATAGGTCAGCTCCTGTGGGCGTCTTCAAAATGCTATTGATACTCCACGAGTAAATTCGAGTATACAGAATGTTCCTGTCATCCTCGCTATTTCCATCAGAGCTGCGTAGGTTTGTTTATATTGTGCAAAAGCTGTCTGAGTGGATTCGACTCAGACCCTCAATTGTTGCAAAATCAAAAAAAGGAAGTAAACTCGTGATTTTGTAACGAACACCAACATCTTCAGACAGTACTTATAAATAAAACATGTGGCAGGGTAGTTCTTGCAGTGTCGTACCAAAATGAATAGTGAGTATTTTTCTGCAATTTCTTTTTTACGTATTCGGTGCTGTTTTACCGCAAATTAACTTTGTTATTTAAAACGTAGTTGTTTTTGAAAAGGAAAATCCAAACCTAAGAAAATGGTTCTGCCTTGAGACATCTCTTACGTAAGCATCTTTATACGCTCACTCAGTGTGAATAAGATTTCTGTACTGACCTATGCCGAACTTAATGATGGACTTACCCAACATCGAGGTCTTTGGTGGATTTAGGGTCTTACCTGAAAGGAAACAAAAATACAGTGAGATGAACTTAGAAATTAAGCAAAATATATTGACGAATCGACTCCTGACTTCTAATTCGTTCTACTGTTATTTTGTAAATGCTTCATGAAGGATAAACTAGCCATAATAAGCAGAGTCGTAAAACACAACTTTCTCCTCGTAAACTCTGTTAAAGACTTGCTTAATCCATTACGCTGCAAAAATGTTGCAGTCGAGAAAGACATGCGAAACATTGTATCTCATTGTACATCCGTAGAAAGCACTAACAACCTTGCATTGCACTTAAAATAGAAAATGCATTAGGGTTCAGTTTCCTAAAGACATGTTTTGACTACAATTGGCCGAATCATGTGCTGGCTTATGTGGTAGGAGTTTGTAAGACTGCAACATGTGGTGGAACAAGCGACGTGGACAGCCAGCTTCAGGTAGATGTTGGCAACATGCACCGGGCACATGCGACCCAACTTGTAATATCGTAATGCACCTTAAGAGAGATATCCGCTTTATTAATAATAATAATAATAATATGTTTTTATTTTTAGTTAAAAGAACAACAAAGAAAAAACTCATTTGATGAGGGAGGCGGCATTCAACATAGTTGCTCTTCCATGCAACCCCGTACATAATACTATACTAACAATTAGAGAATAATAATGGAAGTAATTAATACAACAAAAATAAAACTATTGTGCTCTTTTCACATGGGATTTGACTCTATTTCAGAAGCTGCTAAGTGAGATCGAATCTGTTACTGTATCTGGCAATGAGTTGTACAGGGTGCGGCAGAGAGGACGGACGTTTTTGGGATGGGTAGTACTCTCCGCCTCCATCTACGAGAGAGGTGGGGAGGGTGCCGTAGCATTATTTTACCAGTTGTCGTTAAGGAGCCTTGGACGGTGGAGCACCGCGTTTTCGCCTATGATTGTTTCGTCCGAAATAATGAGTCAGTCATCGTCGTACAGCGTGAGTTTCGTCGCCACTTCAACATTCATCGAAATAGAGCTGTTCTCTCTCGAAACGCCATCCTTCGTTGGGTTGAATCACTTCGCAGGCGTGGTGAACTGATCAACAGAAGACCAAGAGGAGCGCCGCGAACAGTTCGAACTCCTGAAAATTTTGAACACGTTCGACAGGTCTTTCTTCGCAGTCCGACTCGATCTGCCCGGAAACATGCTGCTGCACTTCGCCCTAGTGATCGTTCGGTAAGGCGAATTTTGCATATGAATCTCCGCTTTCACCCCTACAAATTGGCCATTGTGCAACAGTTACAGCCCGGAGATTATGCACAACGAATGAACTTCGCACGTGAGATGGAAGCACTGATCGATCAAAATGAGAACCTCATTTTGTTTATGAATGACGAAGCCCGCTTTCACCTAAACAGCATGGTTAACCAGCAGAATTGTCGTTATTGGGCTAATGAAAATCCGCAACAGTTACACGAAAGACCGCTGCACAGCCCAAAAGGAACGGTTTGGTGCGCTGTATCGCAAACTTGCATCATTGGCCCTTACGTCTTCGAAGACGGTAATGGTCGTGATGTTACCGTGAACTCAGAGCGCTACGTCGACATGATCACCAACTTCTATCTCCCTAAATTACACACAGCCCGAGCATCCATGGACGTTATTCGCCCTCTCTTCCCTGGTCGCCTTATTTCCAGGTTTGGCGATGTTCATTGGCCTCCTCGGTCCCCAGATTTATCTATATGCGATTTTCTCTTATGGGGACACCTCAAGGTTAGAGTATACGCGGACAAGCCCCGAACTCTGGACGAATTGAAGGGCAAAATTCGCGTGGAAGTCGCCCAAGTTGAGAGAGCGATGTTGGAGAGAGTCTACGCGAACTTCCAAGAACGCCTCCAGCACTGCATCAACGATTTCGGCCACCACATGCCTGATGTGATTTTCCACACTTGACTGTCTCAAATGCTATTTCCTTGTGAACCTGATTCCATCAATAAATTTGTTTTCGAGTAAAAATTAACTATTTTATGATTTTTTTAAAACCGTCCATCCTCTCTGCCGCACCCTGTATATTGTAGATGCAAGACATAAGTAAATGACTTTTCAAGCTGTTCAGTACTATGGACCGGAACATTATAGAGATTACAAGAATGAGTTTTCCTATCATGGTCTGATCTCTTAACAAGTTTGGTATAGAGGTGAAGTGGTAGCTGGGTATTGTTGATATTGTAAGTTAAGCAAGCACGACGTATCAAAAAGGCTCGAAATTCGTCACTGAAGTGGTCATATTTTTTCAAACCGTACGAAAATTTAATGAATGAGTTCTGAATTTTTTGAATAGAACGTTTGTCTCTAGTAAAGAGAGCAGGCCAGTATACAATATCAGCATACGTCAAGGAAGACAATATCAACGAATCGCATAGATTCAGCCTGACTTCAGTATAGAGAGCATTCTTGTGAAGATAAGAAGTCCTTAATTTAGCATAAGCTTTTTGTAAGAGATGCCTAACGTGGGGAACAAATTTAAGAGTATTATCGATATATAGTCCCAGATTTTTACATTGGTTGCTTGCTTGTAATACAGGTTATTAATGCAGACTCTAAAATTCGGGTTGTCAGTAACCTCACACGGTTGATCCAAAAATAAGCAATTCAGTTTTATTTTCATTTAATACAAGGCTGTGGGCTCTTACATATCTAGATAAATACTCAAGATCAGAATTGATATGCATGCAGGCAACATAAGCATCATCAAGTTTAAAAGACTAATACAATTGTGTATCATATGCATATTGATGTGTACTGCAACTCCCAACTGACTTTTCAAATCTGAAGTATACAGTGAAAACAACAAAGGTCCTAAAATACTACCCTGTGGCACACCTCTGGCAATACTAGGAATCTGAGATATGTGCCCATTAAATTCTGTGCACTGGGATCTGCTTGACAGCTAGCTATTAAAGAAATCTACAGCCATATTGCTTAGTCCCAGAGATTTAAGTTTCGAACATAAGAATGATCTATTGTATCAAAAGCTTTACTGAAATCGAGCAAAATCAAGGAACTGTACATCTTATTGTCATATGTCCTGAATGAGTCATCTGTATAGGTTGCAAGTGCGGTTGTAGTACTATGGCCAGAGCGAATGTCCGATTGTATGGTAGGAAGTATATTATTAGATGTAATAAATGTTTTTAGTTTTTTCCAATATTTTCGAAAAGGTAGGTAAAATACTTATAGGGCCAAAATGAGAAATTTTTTTCGGATTACCAATCTTTGGGATAGGGATAACTTTAGAGTATTCCCAGCTGGACGGGAAAGTGTTGTTAGCAAGGCAAACATTGAAAATATAAGTAATTATGTTACTTAGATAAGGAAAAACTAGTTGAATCATCTTGAGGTCAATCTTGTCAGTACCAGATGAATTAGATTCTATTGACATTAATACGCGCTCAATATCTTCAGCACTCACAAAACGGAATGAAAATTTATTGTTAATATTACGATCAGATGCATATTGACTTGCATCAACGCCAGATGAGATACCACTGGAAGGAACGCCATCAATGAAGAAGTTGCTAAGTTCATCCGGGTCGCACTGCAGACCACTAATGTCAGAGGGACTGTTTCGGGTATTGAGATGGTCCATAGCTTTACAAAATTCCTTAGAAGATAATTTTGATTTTGACTGTAAAAATGCCTTCTTTTCAGACTGTATTGATAAGTGGAGCAGATTTCTTAAATTCTTATAATATTGCAGCGTCTCCTGAGTCTTATACCTCTTACACCTTAAAAAAGCTTTTTTCTTAAGCTGTTTCATCAATTTTAAGTTGTCTGTCCAACTAGCGACCGGCTCGCTCTTAGTGATTCTAGCAGTTTTATACAAAGCATGCCAATCAAAGACGTTAGAGATATTAGTATCCCAAAATGAAATAACGTTATCAATATTTTGCTTATGATAAATTGCTTGCCAGTTTATCTGCAGTAGGTCATTAACAAAATCATCGTAATCAAATTTAGAAAAGTCCCGGTATGTTCTAAAAATAGGAAGCAACGAAAATCGTCGTCATCGTGTCATCCATGTTAATAACAGAATGAGATGCAACAATGTTAACGTTTGATGTAATAATTGAATCTAGCATACTACCACTGGCTGGAGGAGTGCATGAATCTGTAATCTGAGACAGCTCATATTCATCTAAAAATTAAACAAGTTGAGCGGCTATATTGCTGGCTTTACTAAGGTCAATATTAAGATCGCCACCAAAAATTCATCAAATCGGACTTGACAAGGACGAGGACGATATAATGTGTCCAAACAAACCTGGGTACACTTGTACCGCTTTATTGAAGCCACTCGGCTATTTCTTTTCAGATATTTTTCTATTATCTCACAAAATCTAGTAAAGCTGCGTCCCCACCCTTTCAGTGCGGCGATATGGAGCAGACTGTAAAAGTTTCTACAGACGTTCAGTTAATAAAAAGAACTGAAACAAAGTATTTTATTACATCTCCTTGAAAAACCGCTAATATACATCGAAAAGTTATTACGACAATTATGGGAAGCATAACCCTAAACCCCTCAAAACTTTGATAATTCTTCCCGAAACTTCAGCGCGTCCATACTGATTCAGCGTTAGTAGTCCATAAACTGAGGCCGTGAAATTTTATGCACCAAGCGATGGCAGCCGTATAAATCAAAGTATGCAGACTTAAGAATAGTAGGATCACTCGCGGTAAAATGTTCCACTTTTTCATGCAGTGCCAAAACTCTTCCCGATTTATAGACGGATTTCACTCTAGTGAGACGGAGCCAGCTAGTGTGAGATCTTATTTTGAGGGCAAGGGAGTGAAGAGGGCCTTTGGGAAATCAACTGGCGGAAACATATCCTAATGACCGCATATTCGATGGTACAAAAAAGGCAGTAGCAGCAGCAGTAGTAGTGGTAGACCTTATAGGTCTACTAATCAGTCGGCCTGAACTGCACGGGTGCGTCCCAAGAGAAATTTTCTATTGGCCATGGATGTTGTGTTTGTCCATAGGTAATAGAAGGTCTTGGACTATCAAAGATGGCGGTCCCTCCCAACGGATCTCTAAGTCGGCATTAGAGTGTGTGCATGCGACATGCACACATGTTTCGTGTCTCCCTTTCCCCTGTATCCCCCTATACTGCCGTACTTAGGTAAAACGCAGTAAACCTCATTGACTGCATGTTTAAAATTTGACGCCAATGTAATTGTAATCAGGAAAGAAATGTATTGGCTTCAAGATGTAAAAAGTCAGTAAATGTTGTTTGCTGCCTTTTATCTAAATACCGCAGCCTGTTATCTACCAGAACCGCCAAATGCGAACAACAGCAGCCATAGATCGGAACTAAAAAGGTATCTCAGAGTTATTGAATATCAAGAAGAACGACTTCATCCTTATACTTATACAGCCTTATTACCTCTGATTATTGTGACGCCACGAGCGCCATCTGTCTCACATGCAGGACATGGCATTAAGGACATGCCGACTGGGAGGGGCTCAGAAACTTCTTCTCTAGCTTTCCTTGGAGAGTTCGCGGATGCGTCGGCTGTCTGTTCTTCGATAAGCGAAATTATCCACGTCGGAATGGAGGAATACATGCCTCACACAGTGAAAGTGCCTAAACCAGTGTCCAACGGCTGGTTTAACAAATCGTGTGTCACTGCTCGCCAGCAGAAAATCAAGGCACACAGAACCTTCTTACAAAACCCCACTGTAGAGAACAGACAAGCCGGCGTCGAAAACAGAAACAAATACAACGAAGCGGTTCGCAATGCTAAAAACCAGCACAATATAAGAGTTAGACACACGGTAATGTCGCAGCACAATGGCAGTCGGTCTTTCTGGATGCTGACCAAGCAGATTGAAAAGAACTTCTCACACAGTAGCCTTCCACGACTTCCGTGCCAGGAAGAAAGGATTGTAACCGACTCAGATGCTAAGGCGGCAGTGCTTGTCAAGATCTTTGCTGCCAACCTTACCATGGACGTCCCCCCAACGCCCGAGTGCCACCGATTCAAAAGGTTTCCTACACTATACGCAAAGTAACAGTCAGGCATAAAACGGTAAGATGGATGCTCTTGTCGCTCGACGTCAACAAAGCTTCTGGTCCGGGCTTGATTCCTGCCGTTGTATTGAAAAGATGTGCGGCGCAGCTTGCTCCAGTTCTTTCGCATCTCTCCGAGACACCTTACGAGTTCTGCACCTTCCCAGAAAACTCTATTCATATCCAATCCATCTTAAAAAAAGGATCTACGACCAGTCCTTACTACTGCAGGCCTATAGCTCTGCTTTCTATTATAAGTAATGTGATGGAGAGGTATGTACATAAACCAGGGGCTTCTGGAGTACCTCAAACGTCACTGCTTGATTAGCAACAGGCAGTATGGTTTCCGGAACGGTCGGTCAGCTGCGGCATGATAAAGACAGAAAAATTATCAGAGGTTGAAACTTCGAAATGAAACCTCGATTGCTCCTTAAGTCTTTGTAGATCAAACTGCAAAGATACGAAAGGAAGACGACCAGATAGGAGTCAGTGGATCTTCGAAGAGCAGTCGACGCGAGCGTGAACTGCGACTCCGATACAAATTTTTATACGACTTGTTATAAATTAGCGAACCTAAGGCTTAATAAATTACTTTGTTTAGTGATCAGTTATTAATCCCTTGTTCGATGAGGAGTGCCTTGTCTCTTGACAAATCAAGTAGGCACCCGCGTTTCTTGAGCAAGGTATTGAAATAAGTAATCCATGAAGTTGTCGACTATGCGGGAAAGTAAGAAGGCCTCTAATCGATCAAAACTAACTGACGATTTTTTTTAAGCAAGATAGTTGACAATTATTTTGTCACTTGCATGTGTCAAGACTGTCAAGGTAAATATGGCGTTGGCCATGGATAAAGAGGGTCCAAGAGGAGGAGCTGGGAAGCTGCCTCAAGTAGACAGGAAAGACCGAGTTGGCAAACTGCACTTATAGTTTTGACAGGACTGACACTCAACGAGAGGCTCACTGCTGACAACGTTGATAAGTATGTAGGAGAGCGCAAATGGGTTGAAACTAAATCAAGAGTGAGACGGATGATGCTGGACAAGGCATGTGCTGAGAAAAGCAGACAGAAAGACTAACGGTAGGTTTCCCTGCCTGCTAAGTATGCACGTACATACAAATTTAAGTATGGAGGGAGGTGGCAAAAATACCTTTGACATAAGTCTTAGAAAGACGCTAACCATTATAATATAACGCTGTTATGCACTTTCGTGGTGGGATAAATGGCGAACGACGAAGTTTTAGTGACTATGCCATATTCCGGAGAATCTCAGTCTTCGGACAGGAAAGGCTGACAGAAGGCACCTGTCAAGCTTTTCTGTCATAAAGTGACTATGACTACTTTCTCCTGTGAAACAAAGTGAAAAGCGATGTTCCTTAACTACTTCGCGGTTGAAGAACGGGCGTACTAAGGAACTCGAGCGCTTTGATTATTCGAAGTCTGTATACCATCGTATAAATCAACTGTTTACAGCCATTTTACATCTGAGGATGAAATGCAGCAGCATAGCTTTGCTTATCAACTGGTTCAGCATTAGCATAACGCTGATGATGCCTCACGCCAATGACATAAGTTCTGATTGCCAGTTTGTATTATGCCAGTTGAGAGAGCGAGTTGTTTGTGTATGGGTATATCGGCTGTGAACTCCCAGCTTGATGATTTAGCCAGGAGAGAGAGAGGCGAACATCGAAATGAATTTTCCTCCCAGCAGCCGATGCTGGCGAGATGAATTACTTGCGGTACCGCGAGTAGCCGTCAGCCTCCGTGGCTTACGAGAATATCTAAAGTCCGACAGTCCGGGATGCCATGACATGACTCTCTGGTCTTGGTCGACGTGTGACTACCGCAGCAGATAAATTTATTATCGTCCCTCTCATCCCGCTCGATGCATTTATTCATTAACCTGCTTGAAAAATTTCTATTTTCGACTTACAAGAGAACTGAACTGTACATAGGGATAATTTGCAATGAGAAAATAGTTCAGTATGTTACGAATGTTCCTTAATAGACTGTGAAGCACTCTTTTACAACATACGCCAGTAATAGGATGGCGTCACAGTACCTCGGTATTTTAAATGCCTCGGAGCAAATGGTAATTCTTCTCCTAGGCCCATCTGACTCAATATATTCATGTGAACCTCAGTTTATTGAGCTGGGTCGTTAACAGGGAAACCAAAAGGTTGTATACATAAACAAATATAGGTCATCCAGCAGGAGCAGCATCCCCAGGTCGACGTATAGCGTACTCGTCACGGCCCGTCAACCTCAAATCCACGGAATCCCATCTGACTCCCAAATCGCGTTAACCCCTCGCGGATTTCGTTGCTGTATACAGTGGCGTACGAATATGCAGATCTAAGGCTCCAGTTTCCTGTTTTTCAGCTGCTTGCATACCATCTACGTATGCAAACGACCCTCTTTTCACATCCCAAAGAAGCTTCATAGGTGGCCGGTTCACTTCTTGTCTGGCCGCAAAATATCTACTCTTCATCCCACAGTGTCAACGCGGGTGGTCTCTAGGGATCGGTTTTGGCACCAGCATGGTTTATGTTGCATATCAACGACCTACTTTCCTGTATAACCAATCCAACT